CTAGTTTAATTAATACATTTACTACCATCGATGACTTCAATTATAATAGGGTGATTGATATAAAAAAAGAAAAAAAAATTTTTTAATACCATTCCTTAATTAAATGAAATTTCAAATTTATTATCAAATTAATTTAAATTACAAAACTTTCATAGTACATAGTGCCATACGTGTTCTATTTGCTCTTAGAGTTCTTTCATATTCTTACCATTTGTTATCTTCGAATAATCTGAAAGAGATTGAACGCTAAGGCTGATGTCTGATATATTATACGCTTATACTACTGATTGTGGGTTCCGCGCCATCCAAGTTGAATCACTGGGGCGCGAGGGAACTGGATCAATCCTGACCTTACCTAAGGATAAATTATCCATTGTGGTATGGTATTACAATCTACAAATAAATGTAATTGTTAATAACAATTGATAATGGAATATTTCAATAATAATACGAAATACAAAATTAAATTAAAATTGGGGCTCTCCATGGTCCGTTATGCAATGGTTAAATTGAAATGATCTTTCCATAAGGGTTCCACGATCAAAGAGTTAAATAAATCGAATTTTCTTGTCGAAAAATAAATATAGCAATGTCTTATTTTCATTATAATACTAAAACCAGCAAAATATACTTAACATCGTAGCAGTTCTTGAATTATATTACTGTTCATCCGATTAAAAATTGAACGTCGAAACGATCTCTGATGGTATTAAATTACTGAAACAATGTGATCATAGGGGAGTTAGTAATTCTGTTTCGAGATGTTGGAAAATTTAGTTTCCAGGAGTCAAATCGCTTGTCTCGCGAGACTAGAAAGTCGAGGTAACTGAGAAAACTTCTAGACGAATCGTTCAAACTCGTCGAGCTTACAGCAAGATATCCGGTTGCTCATCCTTTGTTCAGAAGTGTACGACTTGATAAAATACCTCGTATCGTAGCAGGAGCGTACCATCCACCTGTTCCTTTTCCCCTTTTATGCGAGCATTAATCTTTCGCCCCGTAGATTTTTCAACGCTTCCACCCGCGAGGTTCGAGGTGTTCTTAACTTTAACGAGTTACCATAGGTGTGTGGATAATTGCTCGTCGTGTATGATTTATTAGTTACTGTTTTATTGAATTACGCTCGACGTTCTCGCCACGAGGAATGTGGCTCGTAAAAATTGAAAAGGGCCGTACAGTGATCCCAACTACGCTAAATTATTTATTCTTTTTAAACATAGCGTTATTTATTACATATCTTATCATTTTTAATATTTAACTGTAAAAACAATCATACCAGACGGAAGTCTTATGTTCTACTAAAAAAAAAAAAGATTCCCGTCAAAATAGCTTCGTCTCCGGACTGTTCATTGGCCAAGTCAGGTGATAGACGTGGTAGGATGAAGAAAAGGAGATTGTAAGAGCAGGATGACGCAAAGGTGAGTCTGGGGCTCATGAAGGGGACCGTTATAGGAGCACTTCCGGCGTGTTGACATTGCAGCCAGTTGACCCGGATGGTTCAAAGAGAAACAACCAACGCTGATCGCCGGTTCTGATAGTGGCAATAGAGTCTAGATTACCTTCAGCGGTGCTCAAGCGTATCCGGCATTGTCGAACGGTGTCCGTCAACCGTGAAATGTCTTCTTTCCTATCCGTTGACATCTCCCTGAAGCACCTCTGACTCCAACGATTCCTGGGATCGTTAGAGTCGAGTGCATAATCTGAAATGCATGCATCTAGACAGACTCAAAATGGCGTGGTAGTCCCATTCGTTTGATATACTCCCTCTGCTTGAATACGTGAACCAACCACTCCACATTAAAAGCTTTTAGCAATTAACGTTATCCTCATTGACAGTGGCCTTTCAACCTTTGACATTCGTTGATGGTTTTGAAGAAAGGAATTCTTGAAATAATTGTATATGCTGATTTTATTTGATTTTTCGAAGCATTATGATGTTACGGTATGTGAAAAACGTGGAGAGGCTGAGATAAAAATGAAATTCAATATTTTCTATGAATTTGTTTGTTTTAAGAATTTCTTTCATTTTTAGTAATTTTAGATGAAACTGTATTTGGATACTTCCTGCATTATAAATACTGGATATTCGAATAACTACTATCTCTATTTCTGCTTCAATTAGTAATTATCAATTAAATATAATTACCAGTAAGATCTTTCATTTTTAATTGCAATATTATATAGGATAAAGTTCGATGATCTGGTCTGGTCCGGAAATGTAACATGCTAAATGTTTAGTGAATTTTCTGCAGAAATAGAATATTCCAAATTTTTGAATAATTTAAGTACTTCCTTTTGTGCTTCGTAGACTTACTCAGGTTGAAGCACAATCATTCGTCCACTGCATTTTGATAGGTTTTCTTAAGCAGCGTTTCCGATTTATTAATTTGAAGTATAAAATTTTATGGAAATGACTGCAGAAACATTTTACCAATATTTTCAAACTTAATTTCCAACTTCAATGAACACGTTTAAATTAACGGAGCAAAGACAAATCTACGTGCACCGACCGTAAAGTAATATCATTTTCATGCATGTTAAGCTGACTGACACGCAGAATGCGAGGAAGAATATTCTAAAAAGAAAAGGAAACAGAGCACCCTGTTCGCGTCACACTTTCTCGCTGCTACCAGTTTATTCAATGAAAAGTTTTCAAGGCGAAATTCTCATAAATTATGCTCGTGTTCTTTTATCAAATTTGGCTTATTTCTTGGACAAAGGTTAGTGAACAATAGATTTAAAGAAAGAGGAACTCTTGAAAGGCATTGTGAAGAAAGAATGGAATTAATTGTATCCATTGTCGTAATCTCTCTATAGTTTACTACTTTTTTATTACGCTATTCTATGGCCTACTTTTGCTTATTTAGAAATACATATTTGAGACGTTTCATTTCTGTAGATTGAAAGAGGAAAATTATGAAATTACAGCTGGAGAAAAATAATTTAAAATCCTTGTGTTACATTTGGATAGATTGATAAATTTATTTGCAAAAAATTTTACATTATCAGACAAAATATTGTGAATAGTAAATAATCTGAGAAAAAAAAGAAATCATGAATTTCTTCCTAACAAATGTGTTATCAAATGAAAGAATCGAGGGTTCGAAGGAAGAGCTATTCATTCAACAACCGCACTGGAAATGATTTCTTCGTCCAAGTGGTATATCTTAGCGACCCCTGATCGACGAAGAAAAACTCGAGGGAAAATGGTGTGCGAGTTCATTCCGTTTCTCGAGCCGACCGGCATAAATCTTAGCTCGACCTCGAAACTTCAGTTTACCAGCCACCGCCATAGAGATGATGTATCGCCACGTAGGTGTGCTTCTACCCGATAAAGATATAATTGGGACTACGAAGTGTGTTCAGTGTTGGCCAACACAACACGTGGTCATCGATCATTTCATCCAGCCTGTCCTTCGTCCAATTATCTTCCAACCTTGTGTACATTTTAGACGCGTATGCTCCGTAATTGAAAAACTTGTTCTCAACTCACCAGCTGCTTGGAATGTCTTCCGGTACGCCAGACGCTACGTGGAATAATCTCCTGTGATCTCGACTTCAATGCTCGTACCAGCTTCTCCTTCGGCTTCGAATCAATTATTCTTTAAAGGAATTTTCCCTTCGAGTATCAGTTGCTTTATCATCGAATTCCTTTTGAAATAAAAAGTGGAAATATGCTTTGATCAAATAATCGGAGATAAGGTGTTGATTTTTACAGTAGAAGAAACCGTGTATGGTCTGGCATATAGTCGCAGGGAAAAGTTCTCAAACGACGGACCATGGGGAGAGCCCTAATTTTAATTTAATCTCCTATATTTTACACTGTTCCTTCTACCTTTCACTTTTAGATTAATGTGCTTGTACATGTTTTGTAAGTTTAAGTCTTGATTGACCCAGTCTGCGCTGTTTAAGGGTTAATTATTAACCCTTTTGCTATTCACTCGTTTGGGTTCTTAATGAAATTTTATAATTAGACTACTGGAATAGCAACATTCTTCGTGTTCACTCCAAAGTTGATGTAATCATTATCCACAAGTTAATTTTATTTCACAATCAAGATATTCGTTTGAGGTAATATATCTTTCACTTGTCGAGCCAATCGAATTTCATTGAAAAATACTTCCTTATCTACGTTTTTTAAGTCTTTCAATAGTTTGATTCCAACAGTCATTTGTCTTCTACGTCTAGCAAGATCAATTCTTACGTTAAATGGTTCTTTCCAATGTTCCTCCATCTACCATTATTTTTAAAATACTTTGTTATCATTAATCGAATCAATACAAATTAATATTTCTTCAATTTCTCGCGTTATTTTCTATTTAATTTTGAATATTTATATACTTGGTTCGACTATTTTTCAAGAAATATTGAAAAAATTGGACTAGTAGAAGGGGGTAGAAGTTTCTACGTGACCTATTTAAGTCTCCTAAAGGGATTTTACTCTACCGAGTATCTTTGATCAAAAGACTCTCGCGTTCGCAAAATCTTTTGTTTATATAACAGATTTGTAAACGCTCTCATGACTGAGAACACATTGCGTAAGTACGGTTTGCACAGTTAGTAGAGCGTTTATTAGCATCAACAGCAGTTCGCTTGTTCGATTCGTTGATGCCAAGAGCGCGGTAAGTGCGTCGTCGGCAGAGCCCCGTTTCCCTAACGTTTCTCATTAGCCTAGTAGTAAACTTCATAGCCGCTTGTTACCAGGAGCTTGAGAATCTGTGAGAATCACGGCAGTTTGTCGCTTTTGCTTTGTACGCACAAATAAAAGCGTATTCGCGTTTAACGTCACATTGCGTCCGTTCGACAAATAAAATTATATTTTCTACTTCTTTAGGAGAAGGGTTAATCATTATATACAGATCAATAATTGTATACGTTGCCCTATTTAAGTTTGAAATTATTCAAATAATATTAAATAATTTTGCTAATAAAATAAGAATTTTAATATTTTTAATATCACTTGTTCGATAACCACATACCAAATCTGATTTCCATTTCAGTGCTTCCTCAGCTGCCGAACGGAGACGAGAAATTACCTTGGAAGGCAAACAAATCTTTCCATAAATCGTCCCCGGTCGAACGCAAGCAGATTTTCTGAAAATTCTATCGCGCATACCCCAGTTCGACGTGTCCTCGTAACGAGCCCCTTTTTAAAAAGAGAAACGCTCGACTTAGCGTCATAACCGGCATCCGGAAGTCAGCAGGTAGGACGAATAGAAGGGTATTTCGAAGGTTTACACGAGGAATTCTGCATCTTGCCGAGAACAATGGAAAGCTGAAGACCGTCATTAACCGTGGAAGAGGTGGGATGTATGCTGTAGCCTTGAAACAAGAGCACCCCGAAACAAGCCAGGTTCGCGTCTTTGGTCCCATCTGGACCAGCCGTGTCAAGCGGCTCGTATGGGTCTCAACGCTCTATCCCCAGTCTATTGGTCCTGCCACACGGGAAACGACCACGCACACAGAGTGGGCCAGGTAAACGATGACTGGCAACAGAAACCCACGAATTTCGCGGAGTTTCAGGCTTTCGAAACAATGGAAACTTGTCCGCTTCTCTGGATCCCTCGTGGATTAGGCGGGCAACGTCAGCCACGGTATACGTTCCTGATAAATAGTTCCTTTCCGGTATAATTCGGGGATCTACGCTATTGACCCCTTGAATAGCTGATGAAAGAACACTGCGACAGTTCCTGGAATATGTAGCTGAGCCAAGGCAGAGATTAACTAAGGTAATTATGACGGTAAACAAAAGATGATTAGCTATTTTAGTACATTGAATACCACTTGAATTTTTATAGAAATCCATCACTTATATTGTTAGAAATTCTTTGACTCGTTTAATTAAAAGTACTTATATTAAATATTTGAAATGATGGATAATAGATACAATGGGATGTGGTAAAAATAATAGACAAAATTTCTTCAATAAATAGGGAACTTATAAGTGGATGTAAAATGAAAACACTAACATTTATTCGAGTTAGAAATAATATTACTTCTTATTATGCAAAACAATACTGTTCAGCACATGCATAAATCCTGGAGAGCACCAGGTTCCCTGTGTTTTTAGTGCTACTTGGAATACGAATTGTGCTAACGTTTCTGGATCACTTGATTTAAGATCTGAATTATTTAAATTTTCTTAATTTTATTCAATTACTTTAAATATTACTTTTGAACATGATCTAAATTTTTAATTTAAAAAATTTAATAAAAATATCACATTTACTTAAACGCGGATCAAAAATGACACTAATGACACTGATGTTCGTAAGTTAAATTTCCGGGACACGGTATCTTATCGCAAAGAACATCAAGCCACGTCGGTCTTCAATAAATTTTCAAAAGGTAGAGTAGCCAATACGAAGAGCCTGGAGTCGCAAGCTCGAAGCTTGCGAAATGCCGTTTGCGAGCTGATTAATGGTCCAGGCTTATGTACCGCAGGCCTTCATCCACTTCAACATCGAGAGCCATCGACTCGAACGTTCATCCTGGCAAGTATCTTCGTAATGCGCGTTCGTAGAAAACGATAAGTTAAAAAGACCGGAAAAAAGGCCGATAACGATGCCGACGTCCGTCTTGCGTTGATATAATACATTAAATACCGATTGAAACGTACGTCAGAAGTTCCTCGAGTACTCGCGATAGAAAACTGTATATATCCATTTAATGATCATATAAATTCGTTTTTTATTTCGATAGTTCTTAACGATCCAACGGCATAGTCCGACTAGACGCGGAGCTATTCTACTTCAGCCGGATGTAATCCGAGGAACGGGGGAACGTTCAAGGGAAAGAACGAAAAATGAAATTTCGGATTATCGTCTGTTCGTAGATGTACTCGAGAGTAACCATGAACGAAACAATTTCCTCACTCGCGACTGGTAAAACGAGACGATAGCCGGGTGCTCGACGTCGGCAGGACATCCGGGCATAACTCGAGCGTAATCGTACCCTGGATAACTGGCTATCCGCTAGAAAGCGGATAATTCCACGCTCTTCCTGTATTTCGTACCAGACCACTTTCTCGTTCGAAAGGCGAATTGGCTGGTTTAAAAGGGGCGTAAGGGACGAGAACGAAATGGCAGATAAAAACTATGCGAGAATGATCCTCTTAGAGGAGGACAGTGATACCCTTACGAACGGAAAATAAAGAAGCAAGATAGGGATAGTCTAACTGGAACAGGATAGACGGGGAGGAAAGAGAAACGGGATGGTTTCTTGTCGACGATAAAGATTTAATGTTGTGTGTCGGTGGGTCGAATCGTGTAAAAGAACAGGCGTGATCCTGCTTTCTTGACTCCTCTTTCAACGAAGGGAATCCGCTTGCGAGGCGAACACTCGTAAAACCGTTTACGTGACACGTTGAGGTACACTGTATTTACATTTATTTATTAGCAGTATTATTTTCAAAAATTGGTATTGATATAAAATCGAGAAGCATAAATAAGGGGTTGAGTAATATTTTTAGAAGAAATATAAAATTTTCCAACGGGTTTAAAATCAATTAATTTATTTTACAAAATGAAATTATTCTTGTGACGATCGGTAATCATTGCTAATTGAGGTTTACAAAGCAAACATCAGCGAAGAAAGACGTCGTTCGAAGTTAGTAAAGCACGGAAGCATCGAAAGGGAGGAAGTTGGAAGAAAATCAGCGGAAAAGCGGAAGGAAAGCTTTGATCGTTGGCGCGATCGACGAGGCCGGTAACACCAGAGGTTCAGTAATTGGCTGTTACATTTTAAACAACCGGCCGCGTACGCTTTAATTTACTTTTATTTCCACCCGGGGAATTTTCGTTCCCGTTTTCACGGAGGTTTTTAACTGGACCCGACCTCCGACTGGCATTGGCTGCATTGCCCGGAATAAAAGGATCTTTCACGAATCCGCCGCCCCTATCCGTGCTTTTATTCTCAATTTCGCAACAGCCCCGCGATACAATTCCTCGTAGAATTACGGAACACCGACTACACGGTGTAATAAATAAAAAAGAAAAAAAATAAAGAAAGAAGGTACAAGAAAGAAAATGAAGACTAAAGCGCGAACGGTAGAACCTTAAAGTTTGTCCCAGATGCATTGTTGAAGGGATTGCTGGTAAATTGTAAGGGAAATATGGTCACTTCGTATCGTAAAAAGAAGGAAAAACAGAAAGGTTCTTTTTATCGCTTTGGTGGAAAGATGTTTAAGAGCGTTTCGCAGTTTCCCAGGAAATTATGCGAGATAAATCGTGGGACAGGGATTCAAAGTTTGTCGTGCAATTGTTAGGTGATTTAAATCGTTCAGAATAAATGGAAAAACGTACGATTGGTGGGTATTACACTGGAATCGATGTTAAACGTAGACACAGGTGATCGCGAAGTGTCTCGGCGAAGTTAAACCAACACCGTTGAAACGGGTTAGAGTTAGATGACGGTAACAATGGTCGCGCGAGGGGATGCGGCACGAGATGGAGGTATCCCCATAAATATTAATTGAGTCCCCATCGGCGTCGTACGAGGGCGTGGAATTTCCAACGACGGGTCGTACAGTAGAAAACGAAAATCCGCAGGCCGCAGAACCATAAATTCTCAAGTTTCTGCGGCTGTCTCCGGCAACCCACAGAATGACAAAGAGGGGATGGAAAGAGGAGGTTGGTGGACCCCCGCTAACCACCCTCCTTCTCTTTCCACCCAGCTCGGTTCAGTTACTCTAGCTCATTGCAGCTTCCTTCCGTTTTCTATTATGTTACGTACATGTGGTATGCTGAATCGTCCGAGGCGGACTGCTTTCTACCCGCAAGGATCCTGTCACCACCGCGACGTTGTTTCACTATTTGCATACTTTACTACTTTAAACGAACAGTACGCACTCCACTCGCGATTTATCGGACTCTGAAACATTTACGAACATACGCTATTGCTCAAAGTATTTGTTAATTATTAATCGTACATGAAGTTGCTAAAACCATTATGCAAACACTCGTCTGATATAATAACAAATTATTGCAAAATTAATTCGAAACTCTATTTTAATTTCAAGTTTATTGTTCAAGCTTAGTATTTTTTTTTATTTGTTTAGTGGTATGCAACAATTTTTCATATTGTCATTGAACTCAATTTTATACCATGTTCAATTGCAATGGAATTTAAATAGAGGGAAAGGTCCATTTAAAATGTCCTAATCTTTAAATCGGACCTCCACAATATTTCTTCTGCCAAATGACGGCAAAGGACACTTTCCCACGCTTCTGAAACCGATTCATCGCGCCACATGTGAACCCACGACCGCATCCAAATCGTTGATGCATTTTCTGATTGCGTATTTCCGGGAGTTCAATGAATTTTTCCGAGAGATTACCAATCGAACAAATGGTCGACATTTTCAACGATAACGTAGCGTTTTCATCCCTTTCGTTAAGGGGAGTGGCTAAAATAGAGGGTGATTTCTGGCTCATTGTATTCATTAATTGGTATACATTTGTTTTCTTGGAATCATTTTATTTATAAACAAATTTGTTATTATACAAATTTTATTTACCATTAAATCATATCAGACTTTTTCGATTTTAATTGGAAAATTCTTAATATGCTTTCAGGAAGATTAATAATATAGAATACAATTTTTAAGTAAAATTTCAATTTGAATATCTGTTGTAAAATAATATAAGCGGATTTTTTATTGAAATTGATGACGCACACAGCAGAAACATATCGATATATGAGTCAGATGAAACGAATGATAGAATTGGATTTTTACGTTTAACATGAACGACGTATTTCTGAAAATCTGATGGCTTAAAATCGTAAAACTTTCATGGGAAAAAACCCTGCAGGATTGCAAATATTCCGAGGAATTTATATCTCTTCTTTTGTGAAATTTGCGAGGAAAGATTAGTGGCATTGAAAAATTTTCACTGCAGATTTCGAAAGCAAATCAAAGAATTACAGTGCAACAATTCATAGTCGTGGCGTATATTACAATAATACTAAAAAAAAAATTTTTAAGGCAAGTAAATAGTTGTAACCAACCAAGGATAAAGGGAAAGCCTACTGGTCCGTGGAGAAAGTTGTTTGACGATAATAAAGCGCTATCTGACTTCCACTTCGAGTCACTTAACGTCCGCAAGAACATTTAAAGTCCTTAGGATCATTCGCGCTATAAAACACTATCTTCCTTAGCTTCTTCCTTGCAGCTACTTATTACAACGACATTATCCTCGCTTTCCCTCATTAGCTACCCCATCAGCGACACTTACTTCCGGCCGTTTTCCCATTTCGAACCTGGTCACCCGTTACAAACAACCACGAACGCCGTAGATAACGCAACTTCCCTTTCTCTATCTTCTATTTTTACTTTTGCTGTTCTTGCTATTGTTTTTACATTAACTCGAGTTGCAAAGCAACTTTAGTATTTCCTTAAGAAAAATATCTGTTCTATCTATATTATGCAAATGGTGTACCATTTTGAAATTCTGCGAAGCAAAATATTGCATTAATTTCATGGTGTAGCTGTTTGACCATTTCTATCTCAGTTCGTTTTAAGACAAGCACATTGTCCTTTTTAATATGCACCGGAATAAAACATCATTCGGTTAGGGCGAAGTTCCTCACATTTTTCCCCGTCGACTTTAACACACGGATCGTTGAATATTCATAAGTAAAGTACGATGAGAAAGTTCAATCTGCAAGAAGTAAAGGACCGACTTCGTTAGGGTCTACCCCGACCCTCTTCCAATCTAGAGTTGCCTTCTTCGTTGAAGCTTCGGATAAACTTTGATAAGGTAATATTGTTACTGGTACTTCAGACAAACGAACAGCTTTCTACTTTGCTAAAAGGAACATGTTTGATGTCACTTCGGCCAAGATGGATCAGATATAAAATTACGAAAATCGTGCGTAAGATGAAAACTTTCGATAATCCCACCGCCGTCCCGACAACTAAGAAGTTTCTCCTCTGAGGCTTAAGGATAAGCCGACGTTTCAGGATAACGACCTTAAGAAAGACGTTGAAACCGAAGCAAAAGTTTAACTTGTAAAATTTCCCTTTCGACAAGCCACTTGTGGTTAACAGAGTCAACGATTACTCGATGACATTATTAATTTCATTTTAATTCAGTGAAAGCAGCGCCGGATTAAGGGGTTTCCAGGGGGGGGTTACATCCCTGAAGTCTCTTCTATATGTAAAAAAATATTAAATATAATTTTTTTCACTGCTGCCCTTTTTTCCCAAAATTTTAATTTTTCAAGTTTGATAACCCCGGGCCCTGGAAATCTTAATTCGCTCCTGAATAGAATGAAATTGTTTTACATCTTTGTGATAATAGATAATTATATTATATAAACCAAAAATATGAAAACCTAAGGGTGGACCTATAATGACTCTTCATTCATCTTCAAAGGGTTACCACCCTTACGACCCTCCGGTCACGAAACGGTTAAACTTCCTCTAAATTTCTCTTTCACTATTCCGCATGCAGGTATGTCGAGCGAATTTCAAGATTCAATAAACTTCCACCCTCTAACCCTTTGCCACCCCTTTCCGTTCTGTGTTGGTGGAGATTTTTCTGGCCGCACGCAGCGTGCAGACATTTCCTCTGCCGGTTAAATCGCACCTCGCGGCGCGCTGGGATTTCATCGATATTCGCTAATAAATTTTAAAGGGTGCCCTCGAGAACGCCTGAGCGCGCCCTACCTGTAAATATTCAAAGTTTTCGTTCGAATCGGTTTCCACCCCTTTACCCGACGATAGTCTTTCCTTCCTCGTCCGTCTTTCTTGCGGACAGGCAATCACATTGCGAGAGGGAAGAACAACTGGAAGTTTTTCGCGAGATGAATTCCTCGATTGAAGAAGAAAGAAAGGTGGGAGGATAAAAAAAAATAAGGATAGAAAAGAGGAAAGTTCTTTGGAGAGGGTTTTCGATATCCAACAGGCTCCCGGAATCGTTTCTCGAAATTCACGTAGGTAGACTTTGACGTGGCATCCTGAGAAGCTGCGATGATTTACATCCGAAGTAAATCACCGGATGTTAGGCATGTTTGAAAACTTTTGCCCGCTTTACCGCCGGTTGAAATGTAAAACCACCGGCACCGAGGGGGAACGTATCGAGATGAGTTTATGGCTGAAATCCGTTTCCGGAAAACGATTTTTCTCCATTGAACGGTGTAACGAGCATTATTTTTCTTGTTATGTCGAGAACGGATAACGTTTCTCTCGGATGAAGTAATTTTCGAACAGCTGCAAAAAATATTCGCCTTTCAAGATATTCCCTTTGTATCTGTACAGGATTTTTTTTGTAAGCCCTAGTTTTCTTGGAACATATTTTTCATTTTTATGGATTTATCAGTTGAAAATTTATCTGGTCAATTATAATATTAAAATAAAAAAAGAGAAGGTAACGAAAGAGCCTCAAATATAATTTAAATTATATTTGGAAAAAGGAATATAAATTGTTAGGGTCTAATAGAATCCACCTAGGTCAAATAATTTAATAAGAATAATATTTACAATTCAATACAGTTTCTCTTCGTAACGAAATATTTTAAAGACGAGAAAAGACGTGCGCTCCGTCGCGTACAACAGCAGAGTGGAGACAGAGGGGTGCGAAGGGGAAATTAAATTAAATTTAAATTAAGCTCAATTAATTAAGCCGCTTCTCCCATGGGAACACGGCTTCTGTGCCCGGTTACTGCCCCTGAAATTCACCGTGGGAAGGGGTAGCTGAGAGGGTAGTGATCCTTGTCTAGAGCCGGATACGGAACTAATCTCTTTTAAATTAGTATTAAGTTCTAAACGAGTTCAAGTTCGTGCTCGATGGTTATTAAATTCCATCATGCTATAATCGTGCATGCTTTCTGTACAAACTGCATCACGATCCCATTAGAAAAATTATAAATATCGTTGTATTTTTATTAATTTTGCAAATTGATAAAAAATAATATACAATATATTTTATATTAACCAACAGATAATACTAAATCATCATCAGTGTACTAAAGATCCATGAGTTAGTACTTTGCACTTTCATCGTATAATGGTGGTACGTAATATAGGAACAGCTCTGTGCTTTATAAATTTCGGGATATTGACCATGCTGCGAAAGAGTCATGGCCACTCGTGACCCGGCAATAATGAGTCCAGCTGGAAAATTAAAATCCTCGACTGATAAAGAACACCATTGTTGAGGTGCACGATGCAATTCACTGCGATGCATTTCACTGCACTTTTGCATTTTTAATGTCAATTAACACCTCAACTCGCTTCCCCCTAAAAAATGACAATGTTCCAGACCCCTACCGTAGACCTTCCTTTCTAAACCCTAATGTGATAGAGCATAAGAAAACCTCAGGAAGCCTAAAAAATAAATTGTTTGAGCAAAGAGGAAGCACACGGGTGCATGGTCATACGTTTAACACGGAAAGATCCACTTGCCTCGTTTCTCTTTCAGAATCATAAGTATTGCATACAGAGAAAGAGAGAGAGACAGAGAGAAAGTAAGGGTGAAAATACGGTTCCTTTCGCAGTCTCTTAAATATTACTAATGCAAAGAAGCGAATCCTATAGAGGACAGAACAAAACAGGTAACGTCGGTATCAAAGTTTTAAGAAGGTTAATATTTATGATATCACTTTATTCTCAGAGACAGGATATTAAATGGTACCTTTAGGACCATTTCTTTTTCATTTTTAACCCTTTTCTTACCAACTGGAAAGACGAGTTTCAAACATAATAGAAAATTATAAAATGAAAGTATTGTCCGAATATTTTCGTAGATGACTGTACGTCCGTGAGCCTACCCTAAATTCCGACAGAGAAAATCGAGGGTGTAAAAGAGGGTTACGCGTCGGTTGAAATTGCAAGATAAATAAGCTCGGTGTTAATAAAGTCTTATCGGCATGCAACCATGCGTGTAGACTTTAAGCCACGGACGCACTAATCCCCTATGCTAATTTTGGTTGGCCAGGAAAACGACTACTTTAATGCCACCCCTTCGAACACGCGTATCCGTGAGAGGGGTTGCGACCACGTACAAAGAGGATGCCCGGTGCATTTGTTCGGACGCAATCAAGGATGTGCACTTAAATGCAACTGCGTTAAAACTGGAATATTCTGTGGTAAAAAAAAAAACAATATATATATGTATATTTCAATATCTGTATTCAAAACATTGATTATAAACATTTCAGCATATTATTACAATACATGTATAAAATACGTTTCATTTGAGGGCATATGTTTCTATAAATCATAACTATAATTAATATTTCCTTACACAAATTTCGTATATCTCGTTATTTTTAATTAATTTTACATTAATTAACATATAGTGTTTAACATATTTAATATCAAATACTTATAATGACTACGAGAAAATGAATTTTAACCCTCGAACAGCAGAGATTAGGATAATTTAAATTTCATCTTTTATTTTATATTATTTTCAGTTTTTAAATTTTATGTACTTATTTTAAATATTATTCTCTAAGCATATGAAATATTTTGGTTGAAAAATTGTAAATTTAACTTTAATCGATTAATCCTGAACCCGCTTTACGAGAGTTAAAAGATGAAACATTAAAACGAACGAAGCTAAGTAAGTAAAAATACTCTGCAAAAATATGTAACATTAATATTGATCAGTTGTCTGTCAGATTTTAATAAAACCTCAATCATGATTATATCCTCGCGAGCTACGTCACCGCTGTGTCGATATTAACGTGAAACAGAATGTAATATGTTTCGATCCGGATGAGAACAGCAGATACGAAGAAAAAAGAATTCGGCTAAAAGCATTCCTACGAACAAAATGCAAACTGACTCGGATATACAGAAATTTTACTGTTCCTTCATGCGTGTCCCTGATTCTCGATATAATATATATGTGTTCTAATGTATTTCGCTTACACGATACATCGAATACCTATCGTCTTTTCATTCCAATTTCTACTACGAACAATATATATTTTTTGGAGAACAGTAAAATTGTTGGAAAATTGAATGATAAAAATTAGATGGAAAAATGTTTGCAGCGGCTTTCAGGTGGTGTGTCATTCTTCTTAAAACCTATCGACAGAAATTGATTATTATTTGCAATTAAAATCAATAATAGACTTGTTAACCCTCGGACGGCGGACCATGGTGAGAGTCCCACTTTGAATACACAAGATCCGCTGTTCAAGGGTTAAATTAAATATATTAATTTGCACATAATTAAAAAGTGCAATATTCCAACTGAATAACAACTTAATATTTGATACATTATAAGTTTGATTTTATATTCGCTAATCACTCACCTTAACTTATTCTATTCGTTGCATCATTAGTCCGCTTTCTTTCTAAAATATGATTTCTTATAATAATCGCAAAACATATAGAATATTATAAGGATCTGAGACATGTAGAGATAAGCCACTGGTTTTCGATTTGGCTCGCAGGAGGGTAACAAAGTTTGGATGGTGTGACATATCATGATAATAAATTGAACCTGAAACCAAGAAACATTTTCAATTTTATACAGGAGTTTTTGTTTTGAAATATTTATAACTCGATTCGAGAGGAAAAAGAATGGGAAAAACGTTATTTTGTTTGATGCAAACGAAGTCGTGATTGATTTTAACTATTTATATTGCAGTACTCAGAAATGGTAAAAATCGTTTTCATAGTCATTTACAATGATTAAAAATACTTTCATCAATCTTCATTATATTTATGTCTAATATTTGAAAATAGTATCTTGAAAAAGAAAAACGTAGTAAATAGGACATTTTAACTAAGAAAGATAGAACGATTTTTCCTATGAAAAACCTTCTACACTGCTTGTTGAGAAAAGAAAGGTACACTGTCAGCGATTGATCTTTTCTATCTTCAGCTTTCTTTTTAGATCTTTCTTGCCTCGCGTAGACTTTTGCAAACAATTTGCTGCATTACTCCTAACTGCTCTTCAGTCATTTATAATATTTTCTTTTTCTCTTTTCGCTCGTCATTTTTTATTTCACAAAACTGAATATTTTTTAAGTAATGACGAGTCTTTCGTACGTTAAGACTACTCACAACGATGCAGGAAAAATTCGTTTATTTTCAAATTAATTTTCCAACGCTCGTGAAGATTTTAATTATTCACGTGCGCGCCTAATGAAAAAGAAAAAAAACGAGGGGCAAAGAAATAATCGTTTCAAGGGCGAAACGCGAACCGAGAACCGCGTTGTTCGCGTACAACAGAGCTTAATAAGCTCTCTCCTCGTTGTACGTAAAATGACACTTTACCCTGTCGCAGTCCTCTTCAATCCCCCCCGTTCCGCTTCGCATAGTATAAACGCTTAGCTTGAAATTAAACGACCACGTAACCCGATAAATCGTTCCGTCGATATCTCGCCAGAAATAAAAGTTCTCCGCCGTTGGAGTATTTAATTAAAAACGCAAACCACCACCACTACCCCCATTTCAACCCCATTCACAGGCCGCCCGTGTACTTCAGCCTGTTATTCTTGTTAGAATTCGAACGCAAATCAAATCGCGCTAGTACACGTGTAATTCCACATCCGGTACTTGCGACCTTTTCAACCCTCGTGAAAAGCGGGTTATCGAGTTAGGAAGAGCGAATACGGGCCAATATACACATTCCGCAGGAAACAGCATGCGTTTTTCGTGCTCATCGACAAAACATATTGCACCTCTTAACGAAGATTCGTTGGCCAAAGGCGTGGCCAGCTTTCATTGTTTCACAGGATCTCAAACGATATTCGACCTGTTTTTTATTCGTTTATCCATGATTCCCCGGCTGGATGCTGGGTTGAATGAAATTTTTCCGGAGATATAATCGTGGGTGGATGTGGGAGGGAAATTTGGATAAGCAATTCTGGGGTATTTTTAACAAGTCTAGATCCTAAATTATAAAATTGGTGGGTATCATTTTGAGCATTTGTTTAAATCGTTATTCTAGTTAGTTCAGGGTACACTAGGGCTTTCCTAGGAGAAATAACGATATTCAATGTGGTAATAGAAAATGGAAACGTACCATCTGTAATCCTGTAATGTATTGCTTCAAAGGTGCGATCCTCTTTTGCATTTCTGGCCCCAAGCAGGCAAGAAGATAATAGGTGTACATAATCACGTGCACGATGCAGTTTAGCATAATCGTAAACGTCCACATACCTCCTGAAGATAAATTAATTTCTTTCTTTTAAATATTTACAAATATTCTAAATTCTAAATACCTGAATATTAAGTGAAAAAGAAATAAAAATTCATATGAAATGAAAGAGGGATTTAATTTATTAAAGAATGATTTAATAAATTCAAATTAAAGGTAAACCGTAAGAATGTGTTTACCTGGGACAAATTTACACGCGATCCATGAAAGAAGAACAGTCGACGTATGATGATAGATGTGAAGAAATGACGCTTGATTATATTTCTTTCTTAATATGAAAATAAATGTGTCGCTTAATTCGAAGACTTTTAACAATACGACCCTCCAAACCCATTTAGCCATCTATAAGAAATTCAATTAAATTCCAAGTATTCAAATGTACTTACAGTAGACTCTTGTTATATTGTCATGTGAGCGATTTCAAACATTCTGGTACTGTTCTTCCATCATCATATCCAACGAAAATGATACAGCTCTATGTTCCTTCTTTCTCCAAATGAGAACTTGGTAGTTTGACAAATTTTTCACTCCTCCAACGGCAATATAACGAGAATCTATTGTATATTTTTGTTTAATTCAAGTGCTTACTCGATAAGACTCAGGATCGTGTGAAACAATATGAGGTTCGCATCCCAAAGAATATTTTGTGGTGTAACCTGAAGTAAGTAACTGCAAATTAAAATATATATTAATAAATAACAAGAAAATATTGTAAAATGTAATGTAAATGTAGAAGGATATAATTAATTAGTTTTTGATAATTTATTGTTCAAAATTTTACGTGTTTTTAAATACTTAATTACAATGGTAATTAAATAATATTTCTTCAAAACTTTAATTAATGACAAAAGTGAAATATTTCACTATGTTTTTCTCTTGCCCTTAATTTGTTTAAAATTTACGTAAACTTCTACAGAGTTTCTCGCTTATTCCTCAAGCTCTTCTAATTGTTTCAAGCAGTTTAAAATTCAGAGTGCAATATAATTAAATCACGTTATGTAATTTGAAGTTTATATTTAAAACACGGTTATGCTCTCGAATAAACACTCTATGCTCGTGCGTCTTAATAAGTACATTGCTATCTTTACTAAAGAATATTCTCTGACACTCTTGTATTTAATTATGAAAGCAGTTCGCTATGAATTAAACTGAAACAGTTTGCAGAATAATCTCGTCGCCACTTTTCAATAAGAATCTTATAAATTTTGAGATATTAATTTTCACCCGCAACCATTACTGTAATTACTGTAATTAAATCAATCAAAATTTTACTTAATCCTTTTCAACTCGGTTTGGATAATTTGAAAGGAAATTATCAGAGTTTTTATTTTGTAACGTCTCGAGCTTTACTTAAAGTTTTCTTCAGACCTTCAACTAATTACTGTAATTAAACAATTTTGAATGAACTTACCCCGTGAAAAACACATCCACTCGCGATCGCCATGAAAATATTATAAAAAATCATAACTTTGTTCAAGTTGTACGGTTTTCTATTTCTCATATATAATGGACCCAAACGAAGAACGATCACCAGATACAGTGATACAATCGCTAATAATGGAAACGGAGTACCCATTAGAAGCCAGTCTGCCACTCTAGGATCTAAAACAAAGAATTTACTCGTATAACATGTTTTATCTGTAATATTAGTGATGCTTAGAATTTTCATTAATTTTGTTTTCCATTATTATAAATTATAAAACTTACCTGCTACGTGTTCCATGAGGTAGCGATACGTTTCTAAGGGTCCCATATTCTTTCAGCAGCAAATAAGTCATCCAAATTTAATATTATGACAGGGAAAGACGGTAGTAAAATTAATTATTGCTATAAAAAATATAGAATTAAATACCTGTGATACGTGAATTGGGAAAGTTTTCCGATCCTGGCCATCGAGTTTGCATGTATCGACTGACATTCGGGTTACTGTACGATACGAATGATGTCTATCGACGTTAACACCGTCTTTCACGATGGCGACCCACTGTCTAAGTTCATCCGCAGGCCATGCACCCCTAGCAATGGCTCGGGGAAAGAAACGGTAACACACAAGCACACTTTCCCTTGTGTGTTACGGGTAAAGGGTTTCTCGCACACCCTATTTTAATACGATAAAGAAACGCGTTCAAGAGCTGTACAACGAAGCATAGTTTACCCGCATGTTTACTATAAATTGTGCCTTATATTTTCCATTATACAGCACGCTGTCATAAAAAACAAATCGATTAAATGGTCTTGATTTAATTAGCCTTCAATTTTTGAAAAATTGATTTATTGATCAATTTAATTCTTGATTAATTATTTTAGTAAAGAATTGTTGATAACTTTTTAAAGTTAATTTTTTTTTTATATAAAATAATACTGTGACGACAAATGATCCTAATGGGAACAAAATAATAAGCTAAAAGCATGGATAAACCGTGAACACGTTTAGTAGGCTTTCAACTCTCCTATTATGTTAATATTCAATTCTATAATTTGTAAGTCATTATGAGGGTCCAAGTTTCATGACCTCTGCTGCTTGAAAATTCCAGCCAATTGTCACGATCATTATCTATGTTTTTATGCTTAATTATGCATACGAGCATTTCGTATTGTTTGTCAGAATTACTAACACGATTTAATGATAGCAGCAATTAAATATTAAGCATTTCATTAGCACGGTTTACGGCAAATGAAATGCAAATGTAAGTGATGAAAACGCTTTTGAAACGAAACCAGCTACGCTTGATAATATAATACCCAAAAATTAATGAAATTATGAAATTGCACATTTCGTTCGATATTTTGTATTAATGTATTAATCTTCACACAATGGCCATTTCGTTATTGATGAAGAAATTTTATGTAATTCTGAATTTCATATTAATATATCCGCTGTTCAAAGGTTAAAAGATTTTCACTCTTCGCTTATTTTTGTGACATACATTTATTTTCAATATTTTCTACACACAGATTAAATTATTAATTAGAAATTACTGTATCACTTGATTTAATTAAATGTATACTTTTAAAAATTGATCTATAATATGCATAAATATTTTTATTGTATTATAAAATTAAACAGTAGTGTAACTTTCCACTGTTCATTTATTTTTGTTGCACAGATAGGTAAATTATAGTGATTAAATTTTTATTTTCAATTATACTAATAAAATAGAGGATATAATAACTAAGTACCGTCATAGCTAAAACCTTTGGTAACTTATAAAATATAATTTCAAGCGAGATGGTCTTTTGCTTTTAAGTTCAAATTCTACATATTCTATAAAATAATTTTTTTAATAACACATTCGCGAATCTGATGTAGCGTGTTTTATTTAAAAATCTCAATTCGAAAGTAATCGATAGAGTATAGTTTCGATGGGAAACCGTGCGATTTGTCGTGGTTGCAAATCAATTCGCTACATAGCATGAAAAGTAGTGTTATAGATATACATAGGGCTTCTCTATATGCTGTCACTTGAATCAGGATTAGTCAACCGGTACGTCGCGACGCCGCGGTTTCTACAACGAAGAGAGTCATGAATTAGCATCGTAGCTTGGCATTAGAAATTTAGTAGCGGCCCCTCTCCTAATCAGATCAACTGATTGCTAGGTTTCTCCTAGTCAACTGAAAAGAATTGATTGCCGTGGCTAGAATTTGTTCCTCTTCTAGGTAAAATACAGTTCAATTTAGGACACCGTTAATTTTCATTTAAGAATATTGAAACAAATTTTTCAATTAAAAATAATCAATCAATTAGTCTATTTTTGAAAAATGTTTCAAACATTTGTGATGAAGGACTTGCCCTTCGTCCAGATAGGCTCTACTTCTTTTAAGGGTTGATTATAATATATTTTATTCATTTTTTATTACCTGCTTTTATTTCTAAAATCGATGAAGTCTGGCAATACTGAACTATCAATACGTGGTTTTTGTTCATCATAAAGGAATTTACATAAATTCTCCAAGGTTCTCCAGTTCGTCGAAGACATAATAAATATCTTGAGCGGATACTCCGGAGTTTTGAACAACGAAGCGGAAGAAATTGGGATTCTCGTGAAGCGGTTGGTAATTTATCATTAAGCTGCCTCTTTTCGCCATCTTCTCTTTTAATTTAGGAGCAACCTAATTAAACAAATTATTCTTTTAATATATTTAATGTTATTTCCTTATTAATCTAGCTCTTAATCTTAATTAAATACTTTATCTCAAAAGAGTCAAATATATTTTCTTTCTGATTTTTACAATAATTTACTGTTTGCCAGTAACTAATTTTTTTATTAATTGTTGGTATAAATGAAATCTGTTTTATCATTCAAACTAAATACCTACAGTTGGTATAGCAGATACCAATCGACTTAAATGGTAGATTTCTTTAATATCTACTCCTGACATAGTAGGAAACTGTAAATCTGTTACTGTATTATAAAATGTCATTTTTTAACTTTCAAAACATTATATTCCAATTCTTTTACGAGTAAATATCATTTTCAAATTGTTATAGAAAATAAAGTACTTGGTATATACTATTCAAAATTATAATTCTGCAAATTATTCGGATCTATTCATATCAGATATATTTTATTTTTATTATTTGCAATCCATAAATTAAAAAAATTATTATTTGTGCTAATTATAAATATTTTTCAAAAACTTAATATAATGCATAAAAAGTAATATTCCACTGAATTATAAAGAAATCTAGAATATTTTGCATATCATACTGCAATTTTTTATAAAAAATCACATTTTAATAATGTGAGTACTATAAATGAAAGTATATAAACACTTCAGAGAATTTATTTCACTTACTTTGTTTAATTGTATTTTGTAATCACACATAAGGTTTTGATTTCTCAAAGACGGCGGTATAAACCAGAAACACACGTTTATAAAACATGAATCTGTTACTAATTCGAAGCCTTCTCTCTTCTCGACCTCTTCTTTAAAAAGAGCTGACAATGTCATTAAATGATCCACGTGTTTCTCAAAACCCGAACTACCCTGAAACAAATTTATCTGTAATTTTGTAACAGCATTTAGGTAAAATTTAATTATCAAGAAATAATGCAGAAATAATTTTTTATATTTATATATAATATCGAAAACATTGAAATAAAAAATACAATACTACCTTACAAGGTATTTACCCTGTAAGATAAGAGCTGTGTAACACTATAATTTATAGCCAACTAATTCAAGATTGAGGTATATTGATTATAATTCATTATGTAAGTGCTAAAGGGACTGGTAGGAGCTGTGGAAGTTGCTGGTCTAAATGCACTGGTGTCCGCAGACCCCCTTGAGAATTTCAGGAGCTCCTTTTATGATCTTGAAAATGCAGTGAATAGATGCAGTATGAACATTCTTTATTCCTAGCAGGGGAAGTTAATATATGCATAAGTATACTGGCAAGCACTTGAAACATAGCATACAGACCCTTATCTTGTACGGAGTGCATCGCAGTAGCTGCTTAAACCACAAAGTACAAGATGCACAATTGAAGGAAGATCAGGGGAAAAAGTGCTACCAAGGCTAGTTTTGCAGATATTTGCATAAGTGGTTGACACTTAAAGATTAATAAGGGGAAGAGAGGAAACTCTATATAATGCAAAATCTTGTCTTATGACCATGGTATATCGTATGAGACAGCAAGATCCTTTAGAGGTAAGCATTTTTACACCGAAAATATTTTACATCAGGGATAAACCAATTTTAAATAAGCAAAAATAGATTAAGATAAAAATATGAATTATAATATTACCTTAGCTTGCCACATGAACCAAAATTTCAACACATCTGGTCTGCGTCCACACTGTAAATACTTGTCTCCAACATCTAAATCAGTAGAATAAAATTTGTCCTTTTGAAAGAGATAGGGAGCTTGTTTAGCATGTGCTTCCTTAAAAATATTCTCATGTCTGGTTAAAAGAACTGAACACTGTTGAGGGATTGCCAGTAATTTATGTGGATTGAATGAAATGGAATCTGCTCTTTGTATTCCTCTTAAGAGAACACTGTGCTTTCTGCTGAATATTAAACCACCACCCCAGGCTGCATCAACATGCAACCACATATCGAATTCTTGACAAATGTCTGCAATTTCAATTAGCGGATCAAAGGCACCCAAAACTGTCGTTCCTAAAAATGAACACCATTATTGACAAATAACATTGCACATCAGTCACTGATATATTCTTCTCTTCTTTCCGATTTATTCAGTCACTTATCGTACCTGAAGTAGCAGAAACCGAAAACGGATGGTTCCCTTTCTTTTGTTCTTCCAGTATGTTGGCTCGTAAGTCGTTAACATCCATTCTGCCGTATTCATCTGTTTTTATTAGAATAACTTCCACGTCGCATACGCTTCCCCATTTCGAAACCGAATAATGTGCATCTTCGGACGTGAATAATACCAAATTTGTTGATGGAACTTTTTTATTCTAAATGGATCAAAATAAATTAAAGGGTAATATTTAATTTTTTAAATTTATTTTAAAATTAGAAAACTTATGCAAGGTGTTAAAAAAGAAGGATCAAACTTCAAAAGCATATTGTATTCGTCAGAGTGCTACAAAACTTTTTTAAAAAATACATGAAATATGAATTCTGTGGTAATGGAATTAAGAAATTTTCGAAAGAATTGAATTATTTTTACAATTGTTCAGATACTTACGTCTGGACTTTTCTTTCTAAACGAAAATCGAGCCAGGTTGATGGCAATTCCATTCGCGAAGGAACCTCCTGGACAGAAGAGACCATCCCCAATCGTAATACCATTTTCTTCATTGTAAAACATGCTCAACAATTTTGTTATTACAGTCTTCTCCATCAGTGTTAAAACTGGTGCCACTTCGTAAGTATACAAGGAAGAATTTAGAACGTCGGTAAGCCATTGACCGGCTAAACCGTATGGATCCAATCTAAATAAATTTCAGTGAAATAGTACGCTACTTGTAGCATCTTTCCCGTAAATATATCAAAAATATCAATTTCTTTTTTTCTTTTAATATAAAATGTTTCAACCCTTTATCTTGCTGTTTGAAGAAATAAAGTTACTTCACGTATTAAAATTGCAGTATTATATTTAATAATACCATCATTTTAGAAAATAAAATAAGGTAAAATATTCAACAAACATGCAATACGAAAACTTCACCATTTAATTATAGAATTATTAAATAATCTCCATATTAAATAGAATTTTGCTTAAATATAACAATCAGAAATGATTTTTTTAGAAGTAATTATACGAAATGACTTCGTACCATTCACAGAAGAAAATAAAAAAAGCTACGTAAAACTGTATTTTATGACCAAAATTGAAAATAATGGAAACAGAGTACATTTATTCAGATCTGGCTCGAGAATGTTTCAGATCCAAGACGGCAAAGATAATGATAACTTCCAACATCCGACAGTTTTATTACGTACATTATACAAATTTTCAAACATAATTTAATCATTATTTTCCATAAGAAAAACAAACATAAAATTACAAGCCATTAAAGAACTACAGTGTAATTATTCCATAAACTTCATCGAATTATTTATTAACTCACGAACCTTATAATTTTTGCCATCATTATAAAATTAAGTTCGTGGACTTAAAAGTATCTTACCCAGAGAATAACTGATTCATAAAGTAAGGATGTCCCGTTTTCGCGCTGTACTTAAAAACTTGAATCGCGATCTGTAAAAGACTATCCTGACTTCTCGGCTCCTCCTCTAACCCGAAGTTTATGATATGTTGCAGGTGACCTGGTTCTCTCCATCTCAACACTGGATTTTTACGGGACACGCTTTCGAAGGTGGAATCGATCAAGGCCGCGATAAACTTCTCGAGAAATCGTTTGTGTCTTTCCTCGCATGGTATACTGCGCCAATCCGACATTAATATGTAAATTGCCTGACGCCAGAAAGCGTCGGGAAAATGGGAAAGCAGCTTGAGGCAGAAAACGTACTGATCCGCTCGCGATTGACCTCTATCGTATATAAGTGAAGCACAAGGTCTTGGTAAATTCGCCCAATTGCCCTTAACGAGGAAACAAAAGCCCAGCATCCGGGCTAATAAATTAACGGGGCATTACCAATAATTGTACTGTATAATAACCCTCGTAAGATTGATTAGCATTGGTGATTTTGAAAATAAAGCAACAATGTTTAGAAAAAATAAAGAAATAGTATTTATTCAATCTCATTCAATCGTGCAGTTTAAGCTCTAATATGTACAGAGTACTTAGCGCAAAATTATGTACAACAATGATATTACAAAATTATATTGTGTATTACGTTCATTCCCCGAACCCTTGTAATTCTCTGATACCAAGAAGAATTAGCTTGATGTGAGCGTTCGTCTTCGCTACTTCTTTACGGAGATGCGCAATCTGTTGTTCCAGTAATTTAATTCTTACATTAATAATTACTATGGCATCGTGTAGTGAAAATTCAACATAGTGTCCTAAGCCAATGTCCAAAAGAATTGTAGAGGCATCAGGGATATGTGCTTCGACGAAGAAATTCTGTCCTACATCTACTTGGGTTTTGAAACCACTTTTATCAAAGCCATTATTCTGAAGAGTAGTTATGGTCGATTTTAGCTGAAGAAACTCTGCAACATCTGCATTCTTAACATCAATTTTCTGCTGTAACTTAGCAAGATCTTCTTTTAATACTTCATTGATAAATGTTTCAAACTTTAAGATCTTCTCATTAATATCTGGATTCATAATTGAACCACCTGTACAGCAAAGGAACTAAAAGAATATGCAAAATACATTCAGAATCATTTAATTTCATAAAACTATGAAAGTAAATATGGAAAGCGATTATGATACAGGTTAGGTGAATTGTATAGTTTACTATTATACAAACATTTAATTTATTATTACATACACTTACCCAAAACAAAGGTAACTACTAAAACTTTTCACGGAACAATTTTCAATCCTTTACATTCAATTAATCTTATTTAAAAATGAAATACTATTAACTGTTGAGGTTAAGATAAACATCATTATTAAGTGTAACCATAGGGGATTTAATTTATCATTCAAGAAAATCACAAGATAAAATGAATGTTATTTAATAAGATTAAAAAGCTCCTGACAATTGCACGAATATACGTAATTAAACAAAACATTACTCTAAAATCACTCGAATGTTTGTGAAACAGCGCCAACTATTCCTCTGGTGACAGTTATTGGTATTATTGCAGCGACTACAGATGCAAGAAGATTGGACATGCCTTTGTTCTCGAGGGGTCATGATTTTTGGGGTCTCAGACACCCCCAGATGAGATTAGGTCTGCATGCAAAGAGCACAGCCGGTATGATAATCGTGCCTGTTTTACCGCACCTGACTAGAGATCCACGGTTCAAATCCTTGGTTCTCAACAATTTCTTTTTTTTTAATGATAATTTGTCTCTTATTGAATCATTATTACATAAAAATTATCATAAAAAAAAAAAAAAAAATTATTGGGAACCGAGGATTCGAACCGAGGATCTTCAGATTGCGAGTCATAGGTCCGCTCCGTGGTTAAACACATGACTCGCAATCTAAAGGTCCTCGGTTCAAATCCTTGGTTCCCATTATTGTTTTTTTTTTTTGTTTTTTTTTTTTAACTCAATTATTTATACATACAACATTCAATAACTGTTTAATGTTTAATAAATCAAAAGCAGAACATACATGAAAATCAAACTTAAATCAAAACAGAGTAATTATTTCCCAATATGAGAAGTTTGACCCAGAACGAGGTGCGACCTCCTCAGTCTTATAGCGACCGCCGAGGGGTGCGGATCAACCTATCATATATACATGTATTTCTAATTTCCTTTCGGAGTTTATTTAAATTACTTTATTTATTTTTTCGCTTCTTAAATAAGGAATATTATAAATTTATCCCTCTTCTAACCCTCGGCCAACCGCCCTGTTATTTATCATCCTATTCCTTTTTATGGACCAAGGCCTCCCTTCGCAGTTATTTATCTTTTTCATTCTTTTCATGGGCCTCATGGGGACTACTCCTAAATCCCTGCACCCCCTGCATCCCAGTATTCCTTATATCCCAGCATTCCTTGTATCACTACATCCCTTACATCTCTGCATCCCTTACATCTCTGCATCCCTAACATCCCTGTAGCCCATATATCTCAGCTACCCTTACATCTCTGCATCCCTGACATCCCTGTAGCCCTTATATCTCTGCTACCCTTACATCTCTGTATCCCTGACATCCCTGTAGCCCTTATATCTCTGCTACCCTTACATCTCTGTATCCCTGACATCCCTGTAGCCCTTATATCTCTGCTACCCTTATATTCCTGGTTCCTTTATATCCCAGTATTCCTAACATCTTTGAATCCCTTACATTTCTGCATCCCTTACATCCTTGTATCGCTTACATCACTCTATCCCCTACATCTGCATCCTTTATTTATCTCACCAGTTTAGTTCCAATTTTCACTGCTAGAGAGCGCTATATCAACGTTTAAAATTTAGTTCACATTTTTGCCGCTAGAGGGCCAAAATCTCGGCAAGCTTTAGTTCCTTTTTCTGAAACCAGATGGCGCTGATTCGAGGTCGAGATTTTAGTTCACATTTTTCCCGCTAGAGGGCCAAAATCTCTGCAAGCTTTAGTTCCTTTTTCTGAAACCAGATGGCGCTGATTCGAGGTCGAGATTTTAGTTCACATTTTTCCCTCTAGGGGGCCAAAATCTCTGCAAGCTTTAGTTCCTTTTTCTGAAACCAGATGGCGCTGATTCGAGGTCGAGATTTTAGTTCACATTTTTCCCGCTAGAGGGCCAAAATCTCTGCAAGCTTTAGTTCCTTTTTCTGAAACCAGATGGCGCTGATTCGAGGTCGAGATTTTAGTTCACATTTTTCCCGCTAGAGGGCCAAAATCTCGGCAAGCTTTAGTTCTTTTTTCTGAAACCAGATGGCGCTGACTCGACGTCGAGATTTTAGTTCACATTTTTCCCGCTAGAGGGCCAAAATTTCAGCAAGCTTTAGTTCCTTTTTCTGAAACCAGATGGCGCTGATTCGACATCAAGATTTTAGTTCGCATTTTTGCCGCTAGAGGGCTGAAAAGTTATGTCTGGGATGTCTGGGATGTAAGGGAAGCAAGGATGTAAGGGATGCAAGGATGTAAGGGATGCAAGGATGTAAGGGAAGCAATGATGTAAAGGATGCAAGGATGTAAGGGATGCAAGGATGTAAAGGATGCTGGGATGTAAGGGATGTAGGGATGAGGATGATGTTGGGATGTGAATATTTTTTTTTTTTTTTTTTAACGTGGGGAAATCTTGCATAAGACCCCCCACCGTCCCCTGGGGGAGGGCGGCGGGGGAGTGTCAGATTCCTACTGACTAAAACCCCACGGCGACCAATATTGGCGTTAAAGGAAGGCGCCGGGAGTTTGTGTATTACTCCGGAGCCCTCCACGCCTGACACACTAGTGCCTATCTATGGTGCCTAGCATGTAGCCGACACCGGGGGTCGCACCCAGTGCCGACTTCTCCTCGGACCGCGTGCAAGGGCGTTTGGAGCCCCCACTCCCGACGCCAGCGGCCCTGACGACCCCACCGGTTTTCACGGTGAAGCCGTCAATCTAGTGTTGAGAGAAGGGTTGGATCAACCTCCCCTTGCTGCTCCTGTTTTTCCTTTAATATGGCAAAGCTGAGCTCGAGACACCGACTGATAATAAGTTATAGAGTACAGAGAAATCTAAGGAGAACTTAGGATAAGCCAAATGAAAACCTAACACTGTATTTCCTGTCTTACAAAATAAAGAATATGAACTAATAAGAAAAATGTTGGAACAGTTTCTTTCCCTCCATTTTTCCTACCTACTATACTTAAGAGAAAAAGCTGGTAAATCAAAATTTATTGATAAATTCTGCTATCAAAAACGACTAATGTGGCTCGTGCTGATGTTTTGACATCACCTCCTGCTGTATTCTGTTAATTGGTGCGACAATTTGGTAATTTGTGAGGACATTGCCTAATGGTATTATTGCGCTACAGCATACCACGTAAATTTACATAGTGCGCAACTTCTTACCTTTGCTTCGCTGAACGTATAATTCAGTCACGTGCAGATAATTGTAGAGTTAATAATTTACAAAATACCATGGAATTATCGCAAAATAAATTATCCATTTTTATACTCGATTCGAGAAACCGAAGTATCAAAAGGTAAGTTACGTGATTCATCTTTAGGAGAAGATAACTCTGAATTTTGAGTCTTTGGATACCAAAAAAGGGAAAGACTGTAGATGCTTGGGAGTTCATAGAATTAATATTTTGAGGTGATAACTTTCTAATTTAAGAACTCGTACTTTTATATAAAGTATCTCTAAACAAAGTAAAACAAAATGCCTTTATTTTTTTTTTTTTTTTCTAATAACTCCAATTAGAAAAATTAATTACCATTAAGAATTCTTTTTCAACGTTATATTCGTTCACACGTTGCAAGCGGCTTCGAATTTCATGTCAAGAGATCGAGTATGTTGAAGCTTGACCCAGAAGTTGTTTAAATCCAGTGATTTTGAATAATACCGGTTCGAGACCTGCAATATGCAGAAACTTGTAATCCTGCACTTGCAGCTAAATAACCTCTTTGGCTTTCAAGGTACACGATTACCTTGTACCGTCTACTCAGAAGAATATTGTTGCGACATTTGCCCTCCATTCCGTGGTACACCCGCCATTTTTCGCCAACTTTCATCGACTGGATAGCGTGCGAAGCCGGAGCAGGTAACTCCGGGTTTCTTCTTCCATAGCTCGGATCGAACCATTCACGCCCATCGGGAACTTTAGTTACCATACACGCTTTGTACCAGCACGGGGTTCTCTCGTAGTTCCTATATGTATACACTTTGTATCCAACGGTGAGAGGATCGGTTGTTGCGGCTTGATCGTTCAGAAATTCACTTCAATAACCGCCTGACACGCCAAGGTAAGAAACACGAAGATTCGTGCAATACGTACTTGAAGATCTTGTCGGGCATTCGAACGTCAGCTGGAAAAGAAAGAAGTAAAGAAAACTGGTTATACCCAGAATGGTGTGTGAGTGATAAAAAATGTT